CATGAATGCGATTATTTGAGTAGTGAGTAATATTTATTGTAGATTTAGGTCATTGAATTATTGAACGCGTCCATATTTATTTATATCCTCACTAATATTATAAACGCGAAAGTTTGTGTGTATGGATGAATGTTTGTTACTCTTTCACGTAAATACTACTGTATGGATTTTAATGAAACCTTACAATAATATAGATTTTATATAAGAATAACACATAGGCTATAATTTATATACATATTTCATGTATATCTATCTTTCTGTCTGAATCTTCGCCTTCAGCCTATTCTGCGCAGACGTAGTCGCGGGCAGCAGCTACTTTTTAATAAATTCATTTCACAGATTCGTTTGCGCAGTTGAAAAACTTAATAGGTAATTTAAACGCTTCCTTAGTTACATTTTCTTTATGTGAATAATTTTGAAATGAAACTATTTTACGGATTTTTTCGCGTTCAATAAGATTTTTAAATTCCCGTTTCGAAACCTTTCCAACGTTCATGGTCACGTGGTCACGTAAACATGGCGTTGCTTTACGTCTTAATGTCACACTTCACTCGGGTTGCTGTCAATTATTTTATTATTTATTTTTATTATGATCTACGCAAAATTTAGAAATCAATGTGTGAATTGTTGGCAAACGAGCCGGCGGTTCACCTGTTACGTTATTACCCAGTTACCTCACCGGTTTTCTGTTAGGCCGTGGTACTTTCCCGGACGAGGCTTCCGATGGATAAGCACCATGCAATTACAGAAGCTGCCGAGTTCCCCAAAACAGTGATAAATGTAATCTATACAAGGGATTTTTAAAAATATAGTAAGAAATTAGGATAGTCCTTCTCACATCTTTGATACATCACATGAAATTTTATTGAATATCATTAATGATATAGGCAATTTTTATGTTTTATATTAAGTTTTCGTAGTGATAATCTCTGCAATTTAGATGAAACATTAAAATTTGTAGAAAAATGGACGAAAACTTTTTCGCCACCGCGGGAATCAAACCTGCGTCTTTCGGAAGCGCACCCAGACGCTTTAACCATTTAGTTAAACGGCTGAATGCCACGCGACGCAAATCTCGACGTATCTGACTATCTTATTATTACATTGCTTTTCCGCATTTTACGCAATGCCTGGCGCATATTTTCTTTTAGTATGTCCTTTAGAGCACAAAAACAATTTAAAATAAATTTTTACGACTATAAACTTTTCGATAATTTTCCTAAACATGTTTATTTTTAGAATTATATATAATTTTTTATTACAATAGTTTTTGGCATAGAGCGTTAATAATAACTCAATTTATTAGGTCCAAATTAATTCCGAGTAACTTGGTATTACTTGGTTATCGGGTATAGCACATATACGTTTCGTTATCACTAAGACATTATTACAGGAGAAAACTCTTTATTCAGACCAGCTTTATTAAATCTGTGTGAAAAATGATCCTTTGTGTGTGATACAATGGACTGTCATCGTCATTGAATAAATAAACTAGGAAAATCCGTCTTATATCGGAAAATTTATTCACTGTCGCATCCGCTATTACTGACAAGTTTATTATGTACTTACTCATTACTTATTATAGAATCATAGAAAATTAATAGGCTTATATTAGAAACAAGTGAATTAAACACTAGAGATTATTTTATTTATTGATTTTTGACTATTAATGTTATTGGAAATAAAGTTCTCCACTCTACGAAACAAAGAGGCGAGAGTGAAAAAATACGGGTTAAGCGTTTGATCTAGGATCTGATTTTGATGTCTAATATTTTTTTTATGTGAAACGTTGCCAAGTGAGCGGACGGTTCACCTTATGTTAAGTGAATACCGCCGCACATAGACATCCGCTACACACGAGGGTTGCAGATGCGTTGACAACCTTTTGAAAATTAGGCTCCGGCTACCACACTCACCAGACGAAACGCGAAAGTATTATACTTCCACTTTACGCTGGTCTTCTCTGAGGTCGTGGTACTTACCTGGACGAGCCTGCCCATTCGTGCAACAGCCGAGGCTGCTGCGTGGCCCGGCCCTACCACCGTTAAAATGTTGTTAGATTCAATTTTCCTGCGCGTGTCTCATCGTAACACCTGAATGAAATCCGTAAACAATTAGTTTTATTTAATTCCAGACTTTTCTAATTATTAAGTATCAATGTCAATTATTAACATTTTATTGAATAAACAATATTTAAATAATTAAATGCTACTAAACGTTATCTAACAAGGAGGGTGGTAAGAACGCTGGCTGAATGAATGAATGAATGAATGAATATTCTTTATTGCACACACCATGGTAAAAAGAATACATTAAAAATAACAGTTATGTAAGGTTTGTACAATGGGCGGTACAATACCTTATTACTTAAAGCAATTTCTTCCAGGCAACCTTTGGATGGACATAATATGAAAAGAATATTTTAGAGGTGTGGGTAAAATTCTATAAATTTTATGAGATAAATACATACTTTGATATAAAAAAAAATTGTACATAAATGTTCTCGTTTAATAGCTTATGTGTAGTGTTAAGTAAAAAAGGTAAAGTATAGCTCGTATAAGTCCCAATTTTGGACTATGACATCCTCTGTATATGTTCAATTTTGGACGATGTCACTGCGGATTAGCGGACTTCACATATCTTTGAATATTTTTTTTTATATTTCGAAAATATGCAGGTCTTCTCACTATGTTCTCTTTCATCCGCAAACACGTGATAAGTCAGCACTTAAAATTAACAATTTCATTGGTGCCGGCACCGGGGATTGAACTCAGGTTTCACTTCATTACTTTTAATTATTTTGATTAGTGTCTAGCCTGAAATGAAGAGGAGCAATCCACTAAAAGATTAGAATGACCTCACAATGACCCTAACGCACCGTATTTGATATAAAAAAAATAAATGTTTTAGGACACATTTTTTTACACATTTATCAACAGTCTAATTAGATATCAGAATATGTAAAAAAAATGTAAAACAGAACGCTGTCGCAATTTATTTACTGTCTCCTAATGCCACTTCTAAGGTGAGGTCACTTGTAAGGTGCTTATTAGTTTGTTTTCTTGTAGCGTGTCATCATCAGGAGAACAGTTTGCACCGAGATCTGTATCTTAATAGCAAATTCCTACATTATTAGTTCAAAGGTTTTGATAAGCAAAACTAGTTCTTTTTTAGTTTCAACTTTTTTTCAAACGAAATGTATTAGAAACGGTTATTACTTGCCACAACGAACGCTCTTGAAATCGGGTTATTCCATTAACCTGTTCATACCCTGACCTGTTTCATCGTCACGTGAGATTTGTAATGGAATTTTTTACTAGACGATACTGACGCAAGCCGTCGTTTCAAAGTCACGCCCGCTAATGATCCCTCTAAATCAAGTTAATTCAGACTAGATTTGAATTATCGGATACGTGATCGGTACATACGTCGACGTGATTAACAGGAAGTTGATTATTCATTCAATTACTTGTAACATCAGCTAAGATACATTAGCTTTACGTTCTTCACTTTGTTAATTTAAATTTGTTATTAGCGTGCAATATGTTATTTATCAATTCTTGGCCATCGCTGAAGTTTGAGTTGGAGTTTTTACTTCAACATTTTTATGAGTGATGACCTTTCTGGCATTACCGTGCGACGTACATTACTTGTGTGAGGTACATATTTTTTGCTATTGTTAATATTAATTATAAATATCGGTGGTATCTAATAATCTTTAATTATTTCATTCCGAATTAAAAGACAAAAGACTACGCGAGTGGAACTATTGATAAATCATATTTATTAAATGTAATGGCAAATCATCTATTTAAACAATAAATTCGTTCGTAAACTCGAAAAATCATCTGCACGTACTTAACTTTTTTTAGGCATCACAACCACACATGATGTTTTGTAGCGTTCTTTTTGTGATTTAATTAAAATTAAATTAAGTGTAATATTTTTAGATTTCGAGTGCGCTAAAGGGACTTTTGAACCGATAAGCAGGGTTTCCTTAAGCGTATTATTACGAAGTTACATGTTATATTTATTCATCCAACAGTACTCCCGTATTTGTTTACATATTACGTATTTTTTCTAAGCGATCAAAAATTGATCCATTGATCCACAAGAAATTTTAAAAATAGTGTAATATTTCAATATCTAACAGACATGATTGTCTTATATTTTTTAAAATAGTGCAAATGGTGGCGATGTTGTTTTTGATTAGACGTTGATTTGCCAGTTTCAAGTCTCTGAACTAGCTTTAGTTATAAAATTTTCAGTCTGTACATATATGTCTGCCATATATCGATTAAATTACTTATTTTTTTTTATTAATCTTTATGATTTAGAACTAAGACGTAATAAAAAATAAATATTTTCAAGACGAGAGCCTTTTCTTTTTTGATTATGTTCACCATAACCACCAATAGATTGCACCACATATTGAACTGATTTGTAAATTAATTATGTAATGAACTGACCATTGTTTACTTCCGCTCAACCTTAATAGTTAGCTGGTGGGGCCGGTCTGTGGAGAATACAATTTTAGTTTTCAAGCTAAGCGTAAAAGTGAACTAAATAAAACTAAGTTTCATAAAAATTAAAAATTGTAGAAAAAGTACGAAAAGATTGTCGCCGCTGTGGGAATCGAACCCGTCTAAAGCGTCAGGCCGCGAATGCCGAAGATGATGAAATCTTCGGCATTCGCGGCCTGACGCTTTAGCCACTAAGCTAAACGGATTGCCACATCGACGAAAATCTTAACGTCTTTTATCTTTTAACGCCTTTTTAGCATTTGAAGCAATGCTAAAAATTAGCTTAGTGGCTAAAGCCTACAAATTTTAATGTTTAATCTTAAGTGCACAGATTAGCACTATAAAAAAATTTTCTAAGTTTCATAAAAATTAAGAATATTAAGAAGTGACGAAGGGAACTAGGGATTAAGTAGTGACGAACACAGTTACATAAAAACTTTGCATTTGTGTTATCGGTGCTCTATTTGTTACAGAAAAATGCCGGCGTACGACAATGAAGGCGCCACGATATCGATGGAGGATGTCCGTGACCTCGGGGAACCTGTGACCATCAACACGATAGCGGAACAGCTGACTGACAGAAGGATGCGCCAGCTGAGGTCACAGAAGTCCACAGTCGCTTCCAGGAAACAACAGGCGGTGTGCGTGAGGCGGGCGCATAAGAAGTACGGGCCGAAGAAGAACCCAAATATCATTCTAGATGGTCTGAACATGACAGTACCTAAAGGCGCTATGTAAGTGTTATAAGATGCTTAAGATCTATAAACGTAGACGAGGAATGGTTTAAACAGCAGAAATGAATGTCGTGGTTTATAAACGGCTTACTATTTAAGCTTCGAGCAGCGATATCAAAAAAGTAGATTTTGATCATTTCATTATTATATTATGTAACCGTGAATTGATTGCTGTGTATTTTTTTTGTGAAAAGTTGTAAGACCAGCAGGCGGTTCATCTGATGAATGCCGCCGCTCGTGCACCGCTAAAATACTCGCATGGGGTTGCAGATGTGTGGCTTACGTTTGTAATAGTGGATCCGTTTATTTTATCACCAGATCAAACGTACGAGTATAATACTTCGACTTCACACCAGTCTTCTGTGAGGCCATTGTACATCCGCAGACCAGACTGCCCGTAATGCAACAGCAAAAGCTGGTGCGTGGACCTACCACAGATGTAAAAAGAGGAGCCACAATTTATGAGGCGTTTTCCCGACGATAAAATAATATCAAGGAGAACAATTTAGTGATCTCTAATATTATATCAAGAGCAAAGAACTAAAGTTCGACTAGAACCCGTTACGAAATCTAATTACCAATTATGTTTTTGAAGTATGTTTTAAATAGAGACAAGTTTGGCTATGATTTAGTGTAATCTAAAATATTATTTTATTACATTTGGATCACTTTAGCTTGAATGAGTCCAATACTTGAGAACCGAACATTTGCTTTTAGACGGCATATCTTTTTCAAAATTTCAACCTACACATCTAAACCGTAGAAAATGAAAAAGTAAGGAAACGGATAAACAAAAGAACAATTGAAGTAACAACAATTTCTGATGAAGGTATCTTCCAACTTCTAGACAATAGAACGAAAAGTTTTGATTAGAATGGATACAAAAAACAGCGTTGTGCGGAAAATTATTTAAAACAACAAAAGTTTCAAGATATTGCAGCGAGCACAGTACACGGTAAAAAACGCATTTAGAGATTTATCTGAGCATAAATCATACTTAGGGACGTAATTACCTCATATGAGTACCTTTTCAGGTTATTATATCCTCCTTTATTCTGACTCGAGGCTTATAAAAATTGCCATTAGCTTAATTATCATCGCTATTTATTTTAGTCATAAAATTAACGTTAACGAGTAATATAATATTATTGTTAGATAAGGAGATCCGCCATAGCTCAGTGTACGGACGGTAGATTTTAATTCAATGTACTCGAGCACCCTGAGTTCAAATATCGGTGCTAACACCAATCAAATTGTTTATTTTACGTGCTGAATTATCACGTACTCGGCAGTGAAGGAAAAATCATGAGTTACTCAAATACGATATTCAAGATAACACGTTTTTATAAAATTCTATCCTATCTTTACTTGCCTATCTTTATATGCCTGGAGCTATATTGTATGATAAAGTCCTTTCTCAAGACTCGTCATTTAGAGCTGATGTGTGTGACGTGTCTCACTCGTGCACATTGTCATTCATGGGTCTGGTGACACCACAATTTTGTGCGGACTTGGTCTCCAATAAAAACGCGCATCTCCAATAAGTGCGCAAAAATTTAGGGGCAATTACTCCCCAGGATCGTTTATTTGAATTCTTAAAGTGAACGCGGAGATTAATTTAGTTCTTATACATTACTACTCCAAGAGTGTAATGATCTTCGCTTCTCATGCATTTATCAGTGTCAACACAAAAATATAAAAGTATTGTATATTGTGTCAACATATAAAAGCGTCGTACCACAATTAATTTGTATTGTATGCCATATTTAACAGTAACGTAAAAACTACGCCGTTTGACAGTAGGCATGAGAGTGCGTGCATTTTAGTCAGAATTGATAAAATCTTTTCGGCTATTCCTTTTGAAACAATCGGAATCTGCAGATTTCGTGAAGTATCATTGGTAAAAACTATGTGTGTTTTCTCTAAATTGTTCTTAATATAAATATCTACTTCATCGACAGTTATGGTCTACTCGGAGCATCGGGGTGCGGGAAGACCACCCTGCTGTCATGCATAGTGGGCAGGCGGCGTTTGAACAGCGGCGAGATATGGGTTCTTGGTGGTAGACCTGGAGGGCCTGGGAGTGGAGTGCCCGGTCCCAGGATTGGTTACATGCCCCAGGTGAGATATTTTTAAGCGAAAACGGACAAGAAATAAAGTTTACGACGATTATCCTCTATGGTAAGGCTGCAAGGTTTTGTGGCTTGCTTAGTAAAAAGCTATTACTTATGTTTTGGAGACATTGCAAACGGACTTTAACGCATGCTTTGGATCTTAGTCACCAATGATATAATATTTTTCAACTATTCAACAACGTTTAATTATTCAACGGGTAGAACAGGCTCCTTTAAATCAGCTTCTTTAGCAGCGGAAATAAATTAAAGAAATACTAGTTAGTCCTAAGAATAAATAATAAATATTAATAATAAATAAAATATAAAAATATAAATAATAAATAAAAACCTCGTAAATAAAAGGCTGTTTTGAGCAAATATTTAAAAAAAAATGTCATTTCGGTTTTGGATTCAAACAGCACATCGCATCCCTTAGTTTCTACACTAGATCGTTACTTCACTATATCCACGAAATGTGTTTTAATTAAAAGCAAAAGCTTAATAAACAATTATCACGAGTAAATATTTTAAAGACATTTCTCATAATCACCTAAAAGTATATAACTATATGTTAACTATAATTTTTCCCGTGTAGGTAACCATCTACGCGACATCAATATAAATTAAGGTTTAATGAAGTATGAGGAGTAATACATGCGATGTAATTGAATGTTTAAAGATTAATTGACCTTTAAACTAAGCGCGAAACCTACTTGACAGTCATTGTATGCTTAAAGTAATGCATCACGTAACATAACTATATTAAATTATAAGGTCTTTGAAGAAATATTTTTTTCACGCGCGAAATTTCCACCTTGAATTTAGCAGACAAATTTTTGATTAGTTATGTGTCAAACATATTTTAAAATATTCAAATTGAAATATCGTCACGAAGTTATACTTATTTGCCGTGTCTACTTAACACCGACAAGTTTTTTTCTCTGATAGTGAATTAACCTAACATAATTTTCAAAAATATGTAAGATAAGGGCTGATATAAAAAAAAAAGATATGATACCCCCACGGTGGTAGGGTCACGCAGCAGCCTCGGCTGTTGCAAGAATGGGCAGGCCCCTCCGGGTAAGTACCACGACCTCACAGAAGACCGGCGTAAAGTGGAAGTATAATACTTTCGCGTTTCGTCTGGTGAGTGAGTTGGCCGGAGCCCAATTTCCATAAGGTTGTCAACACATCTGGAACCCTGGAGTGTAGTAGATGTCCCTGGGCGTCGGTATTCACTTAACATCAGGTGAACCGTCTGCTAGTTTGGCAACTTTTCACATAAAAAAAAAGATAAGATATCACACTAATTCAACGTCATGAAAATGAGAAAGCAATGTATCAAGCAGCCTAAATTTGCAAATATATGTAGGAATTGTAATGTGTATTTAGTTCATATTATTTGTATTAAGTCCATATTATATGCATGTATGAAGAATCTCATACAGCTAATATATATACAGCTTATTTTAAATCTTCAAATAATAATAAAAAAACAGGTTGATACTTAGTAAGATAGTGTACAATTTCTTTCAAATAAAAGTATTTTTTACCTTATAAATATTAATATTTGTAGATTGAATCGACCATAAAAATGCATACAAGAAGGTTATTACAAAAAAATGTACTTACGCGTAAGTATAATATGTTTGCGTTCGGTACAATAAGGTAAAGAAGATTTGACGTTTCCAGATGATTGAATCAATGTGCAGCTAACGCAAGCTGGCTTATAATATGCACACATAACTGTTTGCTTGGTTAAGCGTGAATAACTCACACTAATTACGGAGGTCGAAGTTGCTATCGATTTACGCACTAGTATAGTATATAATGTTCAGGTAATTAATACTTAATGTTTCCAAGCCCAGTAAGTTCCTCATGATTGTTTATTATACAACGATGGTAATAAAATGATAGAGCTGTACAAGAAGATGCCTTAAGGTATAAATAGTGCATAAGTTGCACGAATGGGCAGGTACGTCCGGGTAAGTACCTACCACAGCAGAAGTGTTACACTTCTGCGTTTCGTCTGGTGAGTGAGGTAGCCGGGGCCCACTTTATTTAAAGGTGGCAACGCATTTGGAAACCTACGGGTGTTGCAAATGTCGATGTGCGGCGGTTATTACTTAACATCAGGTGAACCGCCAGCTCGTTTGCCACTTTCTCACATAAAAAAATAAATGAATAAAAAGCTCCCATACCGAGTACTTCATGCGCGAGTACGACTCGCACTTGGCCGGTTTTTTGTTAATACTGATTTTGCATTATAAATAGGATAGCAATCGCATCGTCGTCGCTCACGTATTAGTTTTGTTCTATCACTGGGATAAATGGAAATTCAAGTAAAACATACGATTTTTTATTTCACTAAAAGCATTTGAAATGACTCGTAGTTAAATTAACGTGTCTTCTGGCCTTGCAGTCTCATCTGGCTGCAATACATTCAACAGAAAACTTGCTTTTAAACCTAAAAATAAACGTAGACGCCCATTTTATTTCACGTCCCGGATTCGCAGGAATTCATGGCAATCATAATGTCCTTAAAACGAGCGAAGGCTAGTAGTAAAATAACTTTAACGCTGTGGAAGGGGGAGGCAATTGCGGGGAAGTATTCCGTGCAGTAGAAATATTATACATAGTCTCTTTGATCAGAGCCTATGCACCAAACACATCTCGTTTTAGGTTTCCTAGGGTGATGTTTATTACTTAACTTTACTAGTTGAATTAATTTCTAGCCTGCCACCCTATGATATAAAAAAGTTTGATTTTAACTCCACCCTGTCACATGCAAAAGTTAGATTTTAACGTAAAAATTATGTTATGTGAACACGTATTGGTTGAGAAAATTGATGTTACTGTAGCATGTATGCAAAAACCGTGACCTTCATGGGATACCTCGTGTACAGTACGCTAATTAACCGTCGTATTGTATTATGCAACACAGTTATTCTGAATACTGATATAACAATACTGCTGTTTTTAATATGTCGTATTATGCGCACTATCGCCGTACTATATAATATACAACAATTTTAAATTGAGCTCAATGTCATAGTCATAATATTTAGTTCAAATTGGGCTATTCGAAACAATTTTCACTCGGAACATGAGTGCCATATCATTTTCTTTGGTATTGGATTTCGGGCTCCGGAGATACGTAGGGAAATCTTGAAAATCAGTTATAAAATGAATACAGTGCGAGATGTTTGAAGTCGATTTTGTTTTTCGTTAGTAAAAAAATTGAATCGTGTTGAAATCCAATGGCGGATTGGCGTCGGATTCGGACAGTTTATGCCCATCTTTAACCACTAACAGCTAAGTACCTTAATAGCTGAGTGTCCGGGTGGACGCCTAATTATCGCACGAAATTAATCGACTTCAAATCCCAGGATATAAATTAATTTTTAATTGATAAGTTCGAACTTAATTTTTGACTTATCACGTGTTCGGCGTCGGAGGAAAACATCTTATGGAAACTTGCGTGTTTTTAAATAGTAAAAAAAATGTAATAGACTGTAACTTTACTTTTTATTTTCACCACTCTTTAAAAATATGTAATAAATTGCTCAACACTAATACCAATGTTCTATTTTTTTACTGGTGAACAAGGGGCAAACGTGTAGGAGGGTCACCCACCTAGGATGGTAAGTGATTACCGCCGCCCATGAACACCTGTAACACCCGAGGGATTACAAATGCATTGCCGGCCTTTAAGGAAAGAGTATGCTCTATTTTTGAAGGTTCGTAGATAGTAACGGTTCGGAAAGACCGCCGGCGGCAGCTGGTTCCACACAGTGGTTGTGCGAGGCAGGAAATGCCTCGAGGTGGTGTGGATGAATTTTTTGGTTTTGGAGCGATGTCGGGATCCATCTAAACAATTGCCGCGAACCCGCGAAAATGCGGCGAAATAAAATATAATAAAACATTTTATTTGCGAAGAGATTAATGATATCATTTTCATAAATAAATTTGTGTTAATTCCTTTATTTCTTTCGGTCATAGCTACATATTTCGGAAACCAGTCCTATTTTAGAGTAAAACATATCAAATGTACATTAGGTATACAGTAACATGTCACAGTCATAGTTCAATAAAGTCATTTAAACTATACATTCAACGTCTGTGTTTTTGTTACAAGACCCTTGTTCATTCATAAACCTTTTAAGTCATTAAAGCCTTCAATGTAGAAGGGCAAACTGGTAATAGCATTTACAAATGTCCTAGATTTTACCGAGATGTACTTTGTAAGTATATTTTACTTAGAAACATTTAACAATAGTTTATTTGCAAGCTTTATGCATATAAAACTTAACTTCAAGATTTATATGTAAGATTACAATCTAATGAAATTGTCTTTTATAACTTATTGAAATCTTTAGTTTTATTGCTATCTTTTCTTTCAACGTTAAGTATATATCTAGGTAACAAACACCTACTGTATGTAATAGTTAAAATATAGGTAGTCAGTTATCGTACTTTTAAGTCACATACACAGAGTTATTTAGTACTTATAGAGGTAGTTAGTATTACTTCTGTAAACAAATAATATAAGTATAAATCAATACTGGAAATTTGTTACGGACTTAAGGACTTTGTGTCCTTTATCGGTTACGATTAAGTTATTTGCATATACAGTTTCCAATGCCGAGAGCTCTTCCTGCATCATTTTAAATGTTTATCTTCATGTGCCACGATAAAATCACCTCCTAGAAGCGGAATAAAATTTAAAAAAAAAAAAAAAAAAAAACGTTTTGTTGTTGTCTTTATGGGGATTAGACAAGGTGTTTCATGGACGTAGCTAAACGCCTTGTAACAAAGACACAGTGAACATGCGTGGGAGATGCTTCATCATCGCTAGATTTTAACTGTGGTAGAGCCACGCGGTAGTATTTTCTGTTGCACGAATGGGCAGGTCCGTCCGGGCAAGTAAATAAAAACATATCTGTAATCGGACCCAAATAAAGTCCCAATGAAAGTCAAATTCCCTGATTACCATAATACCAACGGAAACAAGGCTGGATTTAATCAAACTAAAATTGGTTTAAAATAAAACAAAACTCACAACTTTAAACTTGTTATGTTTAGTTTAATACAGGCCGACAAAGAAGCAACTTTGTAAGAATATATGAGGTAATTAGAACGAAAATAACATTATGTTTTGGCGGAAACTAGTTTCGTACGTTTATAGTTTGTGGCTACCACTAATTTAACCGGTTCCACTACACTGAGGTCTTATTACGACATGATTTTAATTCCCTAAATTTGACATTGAGGTATTCTGTTAATGCGCGGGAAACATGTGTACCAATTTTTACAATCGGCAACGCTATGAAATATTTAGCGGTTGTAAAAATACTAAACTTTTTTTAAAGTTCTAAATACTAAGAATTCGCTATCTGTCTGTCTGTCTGTCATAGGGCTGTATCTCATGAACCGTGACAGTTAGACAGTTGAAATTTTCACAGACGGTGTATTTTTGTTGCCGCTATAACAACGAAAAAACAGTATTTAAAACAATATTTAAGTGGGGCTCCTATACAACAGACATGATTTTTTGTACCATTTTCATATATACCCTTCGTGCGCGACTCGCATTTGGCAGGTTTTTACAGCACACTATAAATTTGTTGCGCTGATGTTCACACCGGTGGCATATTTGTAATATCCATTTTGAGTTGTTCTAACGTCACTGCTTGGTTAACAAGAAGATGTTAATTTTTTTTCTTTTAGCTTAATGGAGTTTGAAGGTTGTTCATTAAAATGATAAATAAATAACGCGTGTACATGCATTTTCAATGTATACACTTATTCCGTATTTGAAAAACAAGGATACGAAAATGTAGTTTACAAGTAAGAAAAAAACCTTTTAAGTGCATAACGTATTTGTCCTGTTTGAAGATACTAGTCTAGTAGGCACGTCGGTTTGTCATTAGATTCGTAGGCCTGACAGAACCAATTAACAATCTGATTATGGCACTGGTGGTTCAGAAAAAATGCGACTATATAGGTAAGATACTCGTAAAGACGTTTTTATTACTTCATACATTACTTGTTTTCGCGCATTTGGAAAAAATATGAGAGTAAAGTTTTTACAATGCACGCGCACACCGACGCTCAATGAGTGACATGATTCTTGGCAACCATTTCCGTGTTATTTAAATAAGCCGTTATCAATAGCATTTAATGTATTTACGCTAAAGAAGTATAACTTCACATGTGTACATAAGTACAAACTTACGTATTTCTTTTAGAATTTTGGGTTGCATTTGCAAACGATCTGCAAGGGTTTGGAAAAAAGTACGTTTCCGTTTCGGAACGCAGTGATCGTGCAGGATGTGAACTGCTCACGTTGCAAAACATTTCGTGACGTTAATAAATGTCATTTGTGTATGACGCGTACGTCGCGTCCTTGCCTCTCCGCCTCTTTCTGGACTTTACACTTGTTTCTGCTTTGCTCGACCGGATTGTGTTGACATTATGCCTTTATTATCTGTGGAAACGTTGTAGACTAAGAACTTCCCGGAAATTCTAATATTTAATAACTAGCTGACTCAGCAAACGTTGTTTTGCCATATAAATTATTTCTAGGGAATTTGTGAATCATCAATTCATCATCAATTCGTGAACACATAGAAAAATAATTCCGGAACGCACCCATAAAATGTTTGACAGGTAGGAACAGTTTGTATGGGAAAATAAAATCGTTGCTATTTCGATTTTCCATGCAATTTTTCCATAATTTCTCATCGTTTAAACCTTCTCTGGACTGCCACAAATATTTCAAAACCAAAATTAGCCAAATCGGTCCAGGCGTTCTCGAGTTTTAGCGAGACTAATGAACAGCAATCCATTTTTATATATAAGATTTTAATTTTCCAATGGTCATAGTGAAATAAAAGGACAAGATAATTCACTTCCTGTGTGAACAGATTGGGCTTCGTTTATTGAGCAGAATGACAATTACAGTTAAAATTTGGAGAAAAAGTACGAAGAGATTGTCGCAGCTGTGGGAATCGAACCCACGTCTTCGGCATTTACGGCCTGACGTTTTAACCACTAAGTTAAACGGCTGATTGCCACAACGACGAAAATCTTAACGTCTTTTTTTATCTACCTACATTGTCTTTTAGCATTTGAAGCAATGCTTATCCTTTCCAGCATACATACAATTTCGAATATCGTTTCTTCTTTTTTTTTAGAAATTTAAATTTTTTATCGTGCTAATCTCTGCACTCAAGATTGAACATTATTAAATTAAACTTTTCCTTCTTCTTCTTAACGAAAAAATTCACGCAAAAAAAATCTATAATCTGTTCTTAAATTATATGTGTTTTGATTGCGAATTAAATAACACTTATAATTTGGGTTTTACTTTATGCTTGGATTCAGCGCCATCTACTGGAAGTATGAGCGTCAATCAAATAACGGCCATCATTCTTTTGTATTTGTTTATATGTTAGGTTTTCCGAATTTGCCCACTTATCCGCACCGGAGTTGCAGAGTCTGATGCTGAAACGGTACGATCATGTATTATTTATTTATTTAATCTTTATTGCACTAAAAATTGTACAAAGGCGAGCTTAATGCTATATTGCGTTCTCTACCAGCTAACCCTAGGTAGAACAGAGACATAATGACAAGGGCAGTAAAGTACTTGTAATCGTTTCATAATCAAAAAATATTTCATAATAAGGTTATAAATCTAAAAACTACCAACATAAAACATACGTAGATGAGTATACTTATATATTTATACATATACAGTAAATATACTTAAATATTCATATTACATATAACTAAACTAATAATATTTATATATGTATATATACCAGATGTTCGTACATAGTAAGCACTATTAAGGTAGCTAAGACTCAGCAAGGATATGCTCAAACAATTTTCTTTTGAAAATATTTTTTGTTTGCGATTGTCGCAGGTCAACAGGCAACCGGTGCAGATCATGAGTTTGTTCCATGAATTTGATGATAGGATCTGCAAGTTTGTCCACGTCCAATTTTGTATGCAAAACTTCTTTTTAAAGATGAATAATGCTTCCTATATTGGGCGTGAATTTTATTGAAAGTGTTACCTTGTGTCTACTAAAAATGATAAAACTAATGTGATCATATCTCTTTGTAGGAAATCGCCCTGTTCGGTGAATTCTCCCTAAGGGAGACTATGATATACTTCGGCTGGATTGCCGGAATGGATTCCAGGGATGTGGACGAGAGGACCGACTTCCTGATATCTCTACTCCAATTGCCAAATCCCACCAGGTGAATTGACTCTACGTTTGTTTTTAACTCTCAATTGTGTAGATAAAACTGTCGCAAAACTTTTCATCGCTGCCAGGATTCGAACCGGCACCTTCAGAATTACGCAACCAACCCCTCTAGCCATCGAGCTTAGCGTTCGACATCCTTACCGCGCGAGTTTATCGATCATGACGCTACTTTGTTGTATTGAATTTATTTAGTAGTACTTTATCAACACACAATTTTATCCACGCATTTATAATTATCTTCTTAAGTAATTAGACGTAGAGACTAGTATTAATAATTATGTTTTCGCTTTTTTTGTAACGGCACTTGAGAAATGTCTTTACGCAAAAAGCTTTCAATGAAGTTTCAAAAGTTACCGACCATTTTAAGACTGCGTTTACTATTTGAATTTCGTATAAAAATAACAAAATATAAAATTGTCATATGTAGAGTAGAGAGTATTACATTAGAATTTATATCCGAATCACAAAAATCTCTAAACATGTGAACAAAAATGGCATTGGAAAACCCATGACCTTAGATCAGGATTCGAAGTACGCAGTTTTATATTAGAATTTAAATCCGAATTCATGTAAATAAAAATATAAAATAAAAATGGTATTTGGACACGCGTGACCTTAAAATCAGGATTTGAAGACCGAATTGCATCGAAATAACATAGGATATACAAAGGGAAATATGTAATAGAAATTCATAAATGTACAGTGCGCAGCAATAAGTAGTCTTACTTGATTCTTAATTATCTTTAGACAGCTCGTCGCTAAGTGACGTACGATTTACATTTACGGTATGAAAGCAACATTGTTTCCATAACTTTGCATGAGTGAGTAAGGTCTTAGAAAAATGTTAAACTTCCGGGTAATTGAACGCTTGTTCCGGAAAACCCAGCCGCTGTTGTAAGTCGATAATAATAATAATAATTAATCCACGAAGCTAAAGCAAACATTATCCGATAAATGCGGTAGTTAACCTTCATTTGATCGAATTAATTAGTACTTCATTAGAACAATTAATTAGTTAAACATAGAAATTATGGATCTTTAGGAAATACGTATTTTTACTGACTTATATTAGCCCAGGTGTAAGGTGACTATTTTTTTATCAACTCGTTATTAAATATCGTTTCATTAAAGTGTACAATGAAATGATTTTCAGCCGAATACAGCAACGATTCAAGTTTTGGCGTAGTAAGTTAAGTAGTAGTGGCGTAGTGGTTAGTGAACCTGCTTCATGTGCCAGAGGGTGTTGGTTCGATCCCCAGTATAGGAAGAATATTGTGTGATGACCATAGCGTTTTCCAGTATCCGGGTGTTTATATATGTATAATATGAATTTATTTAAAAAATAAAATATGTTTTAGTATGTTATCTAGTATCCATAATATCAGCGTTGCTTAGTAGGGGACTTAAGAACGTAGTGACAAAATATTTAATTTATTTGGTTCGTTAAATTTAAATGTGAGTTAAATAGATTAATTGTTGAAAACTTCGCCGCCAGTGAGTCAGATTAGCACGAATATTAAAAGATAATCATCAATTACATTAGCAATAAAAGACCTCTCGTTTAAATATTCATTGTAAAATATTATTTTGTCGGTCTTCTGTAAAGTTGTGCACTTGTAGCAACAAGCATTGCTAAAAAATTAAATTAGAAAGTTGAGATTTTCACGTCGAGGAGACGTCGTGTCGAGATGGAGTGCTTAGTTGATATGGTTCGAGTAATCGGGCGCTTTGTCCAGAACAATAAAACTTTTCGACAAATCATGTTTTGCAGACTAGAACTAAAGATCATTAAGTCTTAGTGATCATTAATTGGTTTATTTAAGTGCATTTAAAACTCATTTTCGATTCGATTCGATGTGAAAAGTTGGCAAACGACCAGGCGTCTTACTTTATGATAAAGTGATTATCGCCCAAGGATAATGCAACACCAAAAAGGTTGCAGATGCATTGCCAAATGATCTTACTCACCAGACGAAACACAAAACCGGCCAAGTGCGAGTCTGACTCGTGTACGAATGGTCTTATCTATAAAAACGGCAAGAAATGTAAGGGAGCCCCACTTAAATATATTTTTATTCTGTTTTTTAATATTTGTTGTTATAGCGGCAAAAGAAAACCTTTTCTCTTTTCACCTGTGAAAACTTCAACTGTCTAACTATCACTCACTAACTGTTCATGACATACAATCTGAACACAGACAGACTGCGGAGTCTTAGAAATAGGGTCCCGTTTTACCCTTTGGGTACGGAACCCTAAAAATGTAATGCTTTCGCTTCATGACGATCCTTCGTTAGGTACTTCCCTAGATACGCCCCTCCTACAAAAAATCCTACTTACAATTTCGGGTTATATAAGTGTGGGGTTATAAATTATAACTTACTATTATAACTTCTTATTAAAGTATTAACTAACTAATAATTGTATTGATATAATATTATACAATATAAATATTTATATATGTAATTATGATCCAATGGAGATAATATAAAAGCATTGTGATGGTATTCAGTATAGCTTATTGTTAATTTGTCCTAACAATAGCATCAGAACAAATGTTTTGACTTCGAGATAAGGAAACAATACTAATAATTAATGTTTTTCGGTACGAGTATGCTGTAAAATTAATTATCAATAGTAATGTCATGAACAGTTAAAATGTATTGTATCTTAATAATTTTAACACTAATACACAATACTAATAATTTTTATTAATGTAATTTTTGTTATACAAAAATCTAAATTACTTGTAGGTTTAGTATTTCTTTTATATATGTTAGTTGTCATTGGTGTAGTTATTTCGTTATGCCACGTAAATTAGTTTGGATGCCCTAGCGAAGCAAGAGCGTGCAAATTAGTTATGAAATATAATGAAGATATGCAATATGCAACATCATATTATGTTAGTAAGCTAAATAGCGTAATTTTATGTATAGCGATTTGATCACGTAAACTAAAATTAGCTAAATTGTGCGTTGTTTGTGAGAAATTCTTGCCGTCTTAAGTTTTCATGTTTTCGAAGTTATACTTATTTTGGCACGTTTGGAAGAAATATGAGATTAAATTTATACGATGCGCGCGCACAGCGACCAACAAAAAGGGACACGATGAAGTTGGTTGCTTTGCATGCTTGTTTGCCATGGTAATACCGTGAAGTTTGTTGCGAAGGAACTTTTTAAGATGTGTAACGTAAGATATAGACGTGAAGCACCGACGGTTGAAGAAGACTGCAGTTTCTGATCATATTTTAGACCGCCCCAACCACTACATTAGATTTGATCAACCGAAAATTCTCGCAAAAGAACACCGATTCCTTCCAAGGATGATCCGCGAAGCTATTGAAATAAAGAAACATCTTAATTTCAATAGAGAAGATGGTTGGAGTTTATCATCTGCTTGGGATCCGATAATTTATAAAATTAAATCGAAGTACACCAACACTGCCAGATCATAAGATACCATAAGCTCCTTCTGCGTGGATCGGAATAAAAATAAACAAAATGATTGACGGTAGCCGGGGTTAACTATGACATCAAGACGTATAAAAACTTATTCTGTCCCGAGACCATGAACGCTGTAAAGGGTTCGAAACGTCAACAAAATAAAAAACGCGATAAAATCCGTAAACTAGTTTCATTTAATTAAGTTCCTTTTCTTCGTCAGACCAGTAAAGAACTTGTCCGGTGGACAACAACGTCGAGTGTCGCTTGCAGCTGCTCTACTCCACGAGCCGGAACTTCTGATATTGGACGAGCCTACCGTAGGAGTTGACCCTGTACTGAGACAAAGGTAAGGTCGTGCAGAAGTAAAGTAAAGTAAAGTAAAAGCCTATAGATGTCCCACTGCTGGACACAGATCACCGCTGCACAGAGGTCATTAGGACACAGTCCACCACGGGGCCGGACCACCGGGGGGCGGACTTGACACATCTTCGAAACATTTTCTTTTTTTGTTATCGCGCAGAAGGCTTCGTGATATTTGGTCATGGCCTACTAACGGCTTAATTTATTGGTCACTTCACGTCGTCAGAATGATGCTGGTTTGACATTAAGAATACTTATTAAGGATGACGCTTATCTCGTTGATTTTTCTGCTCAGTTTCAGTTCGTTCTCTCCTATCACGTCGAAACGCATGTTAAAACAATCAGATTTTCTTTACGTTTTGGTTCTGTTATACAAAACCTATGAATTCTGACAGTAAATGTTTATTATAGAGGACTACTAACTGAGAAACTTCTGTCCTTAAATAGCTCAACGAGTCACTAACAACCAATGTTATGAATGTAAAAGTATCAGCCCATGCATTGTTATTTTTGAAATTTACTAAAGTATGTCTTCAAATATGCTTAGGTTGAAAACTAAGTTTGTTCTTAGTTTTATCAGAAAATTTCTGGTATAGGTTTACTATGAACCGCAAAACTGTCCTTTTAAATTTGATTTGTATTCGAACTTTTTGTTAACAATCCTCATGCAACCTCATTCAAACATAACTTATTAAAAAAATTACATTGCAGTATCTGGGATCATCTCGTGGAAATCACTAAAGGCGGAAGAACCACCGTTATAATTACCACACATTATATAGACGAGACGAAACAAGCCAATATTGTAAGTATTTTTATTTATTAAATCAAAGTTTCTCTATTAGGGCTTGTTTAGAATTCTTACGAAGGTTAACGTAACTTTGCCACAACATATTCGTACACCTCTTTCACATCTGTAACGTTTTTATAGTGGGTGTCTAGATAATGATGGGAAGATTTAATAAAAGATTTATTAGCAGTTAAGAAGTTGTATTCATCCCTGGACTAGCTCAGATGCAAAATATTTTAAAATATAGTAATAATAATGAGTTGGGCGCCTTGTCTGTTAGGAACAGACTGTTGTAATAAATACAATCAAGTATCTCAGGGAGTCGTGAGTACATAGGACCTACACAACAAGCGTCGCCCGCGAAACGTCCTCATCGACCCGGTCGACGAAGAAGACTTAGATACGATGGGCCCCCCGCCCGGGGTAATAACACTACACCCACAGTTAGTGTAACAACAATCACACCAGTTCGCCTTCGCCTCCGAGCACGGCGAGACCCACACAACGCGTACACAAGGTACACCCGCGTTCCGGGGCGGTTCTCACCGCTCCCAGCCACCGATTAGCTAAATGCACAGTCGACGGGCCGTCGGGGTCTCGGTCCGAACCGGCGAACTCGACGGCCCTTAGATGACACACCATAGTAGTTAAACGCACGCATGAGCACATGCGCGACCCTACCCATAGCGGAGGGTCCAAACCCGTGGGTTCTGGCTAGCCACCGGTTCTGCGTCCGATGAAGCTTTAATAGTCTCGGGACTGAAAGCAAAAACATCAGTTAATACAAGATAATACAAGAAGGACCTACACATTACTTTGTGCGACCATAAAAGGTTAAATAATTAAATTAATTTGAGATGGTAAAACTTATGCAATTCAATTTAAAAAACAAAGTCCAATCAGGTAGTTATTTAAAATCTATGTCACCGCAGAGACATCTGCCCTGTGTGCACAGGTCAGCGTTGAGCTCAGAACCAGTAGAGAAAGTCAGGCCAAGTGTAGTGTGTACAGCCACACTGTTGGGGGGGTATGTAGGAGACCTCCAACTGGAGGTAAAAAACAATATTTAATTGAGCAGCAGCTCAGACCAGCTTGCCAGCCACCTATGCCTTCAGCATCCACCACGAGGGATAACAAATCCAGCAAAGAGTTTCCCAGACAGCAATCACAATTAATACGACCAGGAACGTGTTCTGATTTCAACCTCTAGCCATGCACAGTCGAAGATAATGGATCCACAAAAACTAATTTATCCAATGTCAATTCGAACCGGCGAATCTCAAATGACAAGTACGACCAAATGAAGTTAACTTTTTGATTCGACCTCTCGAAAAGGCAAAGGTTCTTATGACATGCAGCCTAGTCTTTAGAAAAACGACAATTTCGACAAAGTGATGAAATCACACGTTACACATCTAAAGACAAAGTGCCCACTTTGCTAAAAGGTGGCAACGCATCTGCAACCCGACGGGTGTTGCAAATATCAATGCGTGGCGGTTGTCATTTAACGTTAGTGAATCGCCAGCTCGCATGCCACCTTCTCACATTAAAAAATAGTATTTAAAATTACGTTTAAGAATCTGAATAGGACTTCATCTTGTTCTATGAATTAAGCGCTGGACGCTGGATTTACCAGCTTAATAATTATTGTCAATAATAAAAAATATATCTAAGCAAAGAAAAAAACGTTTCTCGACTGACCGTGGCACATTTGCCAAGGTCTTCTATCGGATACAGGATCTTTAATTGTATTTAAAATGTTGTCCCTATTTGTTTTGGAAGTTGTTTGTTTGGTTTATGCATCAAAAAATATTTCTAGTCCTGGCTTAGTGTTTCGGTATGTCGAGCCATTGGTTCCTTTTGCGAGAATTGTGGGACTCAGAAAATTTCTCTTCTTTTTATCTTTCTGTTTACTGAATTTGGGTTGACAATTGAAAGTTAGAACTATAGGATATTTTTGAGGTATCATTAACAAAACAAGCACTAATAAATTAAGAACAACAGAATTGAGAAACAAATTGACTTTTTTTAAAACATTTCTTAACAGATTGGTCTTATGCGCGGTGGTCGTTTCCTCGCCGAAGAGGCACCGACTGAATTGATCCGTCGTTACCAAGCCGAGAGCCTCGAGGATGTCTTTCTGAAGCTGGCGGTCTTGCAGAATATGGGCAAAAGGCGCCGTTCAAGCATCCTCGCTGGTGTTGTGGAGAAGGTGGAATTGCCGGCAATACCTGTGAGTTTCTGTTACTTACTACGTCATTACTCATCGGATATTCATCGGTGAATACAGTATTAGTGTCAAAGGTTCGATTCTTATACAAAAGGATGTTTCATGTTACCTCTATAGGACGTGTTATGATGCGGGAGCTTTATGCACATTGAATAACTATGATATTATGTTAACAATGTCATAGTTATTCAATGACAATGAAATATGCTAAGATGTTTTATTCAAAGTTTTTCATGAATTAGATCGACGAAGAATTATGAAAAACCTTTTTTATTTTTAATTTGGGATAAGTGTACCTAATACTTCTAATACACATAATGGTCACATTTATTGTGTCGCAATGCATTTCGGTACTATTTTATACTTTGTCAACGGTATACAAAATACATGACTTCCTAAGTTCTTCATGATATGAAGTAAAAACTAAAAGCTTAAGCAGTCTAATAAATTGGAAGATGATAAAATCATTAAATAAAAATATACGATGAATATGAAATTTCTTATCTTCCAGGACCCAGCTGCGATAGATTTAGAAGAGGCAGAAATCGGCGAAATATCTGGTGAATTTGGTGACAATGTATCTATGACCAGTAAGAGTCGTGTAGTCGTGGCTACGGAACTGATTGGTCCGGTAGAGGCATTGCCACCGGAAGAGAAACCTCCGAATGGATGCTTGGAACGAGTGAAACCAATGAAATGGCACCACATGAAGGCATTGGTCTGGAAAAACTTCCTCAGTTTATTCAGAAATTTCGGGTAAGTTCAAATACAAATTCACTTCATTACAATTATGACGTTTCTATTTGGAATTACATTTTGATTGTAGAGTTGTGAAAGTATCTAGTATAAACATGACAACAAGAAAAGTAGTCTTGTTTTGCTTTCTTTCGTCCAAGGGGTGAGCTATATCAACCTCGCACCAACTTCAACGGAACTCTTTTGTCCACATCCTCTATGGCAAGCTGCTTTAGGAGAGGAGCGCCCCTCTTCTCCGGGTAATTCATACTGATAAAGCACGCCTTCCCACTTGACCGCTTTAGTTCAGGCAATGGTCCACTGTCCAAAGACGATGAGAGTTGGTACTGCTAGATCTAATGAGATAGATCGGGCCTGGTAATTGCTTCAGTTGCGGAGAATATGAATAATGGTGAAACGCAGCACTGACACTTATTCCCTGCGAGATCACCTGGGTTGCAGAGGAGAGTGAGAGTATCTCCTACTCCACCACCCTCAATCAGTCTCCACGAATCCATGGGCGCAGATGAGGTCATTTAGAGCTACCTACTATTTTGGGCCGGCTTTGTATGAGTTCCTAATACCTTCACCGTATGGGCGCCACCTTACGGCAATACTGATGGAAGCGCTTAGTAGCTGAAAAAGCCACCGCTGCTAAGCCTCTCGTCTATGCAAAATAAATACCTAAAGTTAATGTCAAAAAATCATGTCGTGAACATATTACCGTATTTAAAGAGTCAGTTCAGATTTAAATTTCTCTTCACTCTCTTTTCAGACTCATTGCTTTCATTATCGGTTTACCGGTATCGCAAATGATACTGTTCTGCCTCGCTATCGGTCACAAACCTATCGGCTTGCCTATAGCAGTGGTCAACTATGAGTTGGGGCCCAACAGCACGACGACACCATGTGAATACGATAGAAACCACTGCCCACAGGACCCGGAGACATACGAATGGAATTTGACAAGATTTAGCTGTCAGTACTTGGATTATCTGTCGCAACGGCAGAGTAATTTGGTGAGTTTTTTTAAAGACAAAACGAGAAATGATGTGACGATTATTCTATCCTACTATTATTTTTTTTTGGTATAAAAAGTCTGTTTGTGTAAGTGTGTGTACTTCACAATTTTAAAAAGGTATACGAGTTGTAGCCCTGAAAGGGATTTGGGACACAACATAAACGAAAAAATGTAAAGTAATGACAGGAAACGAAATTTTCAGGTTTATTATCCAACCAAAGATCAGGCAATGCAGGCCGCGGCGAAGGGAAAAGCCCGTGTGGTTCTCGTTTTTCCGGCCAACTTTTCCGAGAGTTTACAAGAGAGGGTGAGGGACCCGCGACACGCTGACGATTACACCGTTATGAATTCAGCGATGGAAGCGCATATGGATGACACTGGTGAGCAATATAATAATAATAATAATAATTTTTTTATGTGAGAAGGTGGCAAGGAGTTAAGTGATGACCGCCGCTGCAGATGTGTTGCCATCTTTTAATAAAGTGACATAGAAGAGGGCAAGGAAAATACATGTTAATCCGACCCCATTTAACGGATGGCAGAAAAACGAATATTCGATTACCCTCAAAATTTGTTAATGATAAATTATGTACGTTTTTTTTAACTCAGTTGGTATTATAGTGAGTTGCTAGTAGTTAGCTTTTAGTAAAGAAATTGTTATGATGGTTACTATGTTTAGTTTTATTATACCCTAAATTGTTTGGCTGATGTAGCTCATTCGGTGTGCCATTTAGCATAATGATTTAAAAAATGTAAATTGCAATAAATACAGGAACTTGGAGGCTCTAAGTTCCTGTATTTATTGCAATATATACAGGAACTTAGAGCTAACGACGATAAAATTTTCCTAGAAGCCACTTCTAGACAAATTAATCTTGTTGGCATGTTTATGGGTAATACGATTGCATTAATGGTTTTGTACTTTTCAGACAAACAAGTAGAATGGATGTTGGCGCGTGAGCTGCAACAGGCGCTCATAGCTTCCACAGAGCACTTAGCGGAAATCTGCAAGCTACCGAAGAACATCATGTCGTTACCAGTCCGTGTAAGTTTGTTTATTTACGCTTTACTAACATGAAGTGTGATGTGAACTTTTGGTACTCAATTAACTATTTATTATAATTGTCTTCAGTTTAATAAGCCGGTCTACGGTCTAGAAGATCCCGACTTTACCGATTTTGCGGGCCCAGGCGTTATTCTTACGTAAGTATGAATTTAATGATAATTGTGATATTCAAACTAATTTTCACCTTATCTTGGTTACGATAAGTGCACGTAACGTTAATCTAAATTTAAAACTTATGAACATGGATTTTAAATCATCATTAAAATGGATCGAGATGCACTTATAAAACACTGATTCATTCATTAATTGCAAATTCCAAAAAAAAAACGCTGGTTAATAATTTTTATTATGAATTAATTCGGTATTTATTCCTACAGTATCATCTTCTTCTTGGCGGTTGCTTTAACATCTGGCTCCATGTTAGCTGAACGTAACGAAGGCATATTGGAGAGATCACTTGTGTCCGGGCTTACTGGTACTATATTTTATATATTTTAGTAATTTAAAGTTATTCAAAAACAATAAATGAATCAATGAAAATAGCAGTCCAATTGTATGTAAGAGAATCGTCTCTTCAAATAATCAATTATCGAGTTGATGATTTACTTTTGGTGGTGTATATAATATCAGACCTATATAATATCAGAATAGCAAATGTTACCAGAGAGAAGAGTGCCTTTAACTGAGCTAACGCGTTTACCATCAATGGCTGCATCGCCACTTACAATAAGGTGGGATGGCAGTCAAGCGCCGGTCAGTTCCGTATAAAAAAAACGTGTCTATTGTATGGGTGCCCCAATTAAATATTTTTTATTCCGCTTTTTAGTATTTATTGTTAAAGCGGCATCAGAAAAACATCATCTGTGAAAATTTCAACTGTCTAATAATCACAGTTCACGAGGTACTGCCTGATGACAGACGGACAGACAGACAGCGGAGGTTTAGTAATAGGGTCTCCTTACCCTTTGGGTACGGAACCCTAAAAAAGAAACTCGAAAGTCTTACTATTTTTATTACTATTTTAATTAAATGTTCTAAATTCTTACAGGAACCGAAATCCTCTTCGCGCATGTGGTCGTTCAGATGATTGTGATGATCATCCAGACAGTTGTGGTGCTTCTTCTGGGATTCGTAGTCTTCGGGCTTACAATTAACGGACCCGTGGGCTGGGTCATTGTGCTCACGCTCATCACCGGGCTTTGTGGAATGACCTTTGGTAAGTTGAACACAATTCGTTTTTGGGAGACACACAGTGCAGATAAGTTGACTCGTGATGTAACTTTCATCGGCCTTCACATAATTTGGCGACTAGATACAAAAGAAAATGTCGTTAAGAGTCATGCCAACTCTTCACACAAAACAGTGTTTACCAATCGGGCATTCCTAAAATTTATTACGCTCTTAAAACGTTTAAAGTCGGTTTTCTTTATTATTAGACTCTACTTTCATAAGCAAGTAATATAATATGTATTCTTTGGGCGACTAATGTAATACTTTGCTATATAGTTATCGTGGTATTGTTTCAGGCTTCGTCGTTTCATGCATTTGCGATACAGAGAGAACTGCCACGTATCTTGCGCTGGGCTCTTTCTTGCCGATGATGCTGTTATGTGGCATTATTTGGCCGGTTGAAGGTGAGATTATATTTTTTGTTCATTAAATGTAATTAAAGATTAATAAAAATCTTAATTGCAATTTTAATTATTAATCATATTACGTTTCGGTGAATTGGAAGGGATGGATAAATAAAAAAGATAATGATAGGTTATCGTGCGAAATTGTAGGAGAAGTGAAAGATAATGTTATTGGCGAATTTATATTAAACTGACTTATTTGGCCAATAAAATTTGTACTAGGTTTCTTATTGTCCTTTTCTTTTTTAGGCATGCACAATGTCCTTCAGTGGGTCAGCTACGTGCTTCCACTCACAAAGTCCACAGAGTCTTTGCGTTCGATGCTGCAACGTGGTTGGACCGTGACGGTTCCAACTGTATATTCTGGCTTCATTTCGACTGCAATTTGGATAGTCGTCTACCTCACGCTTAGCATTCTCCTCATCAAGTTCAAAAAAGGATGAGTGTTCTTCTATAGCTTGTTATTTCCAAGAGGATAGTTTTAAGGGTGGATATAAAATGGAAACAGTAGTCACTTTTGTGATATAGGACAATATTATTAAATTGATATTTTGTGATATGTTATTGTAATAACTGATGTACATGGTACAGTCGGCAGTTTTATTTAATTTTATCACAAACTGGCCAGCTTGGCCAGTGAAGGAATTCGCTCTCTTAATATTGATTTAGGGTTTAATAACTGCAGAACTGACTACAAAAATTTTGTAACCGTGTGTAACATTAAACAATTCCGCTTCTGTTGAAGAAGATTAAGAAAGAAAATTTTTATTATTCGTTCAGTTTTGAATGTAACATGTACGTTGCCAAAATATGAAGGCAAGTTTTGTCTCTTTTTTAAAATTAAGTTACACAATTCACTTTCGTTTTTATCTTTATAACGTTACGATTATTGATCAGAAGATATTTCCCGTATGCTACATTCATTTTTCGAATTTATATTATAATGCTATAACAACGCGAATCATTTTGTTTTTGGCTTAGTACTATCACTATAGCATTGCCCTCAAGTTGTTCGACTTTTATTCGAGAACCGCCCTTTTTAGAGTAATCTAGAGTGATTTGAGCAATGTGTGTGTATAAAACAATTTCTGTATTTGAAAATCGGTGGACTGCTGGTACTAATAATACCTAATTTTAAGATTAATTTTTACGTTACTTAAAGATCGGGTATTACAGCAATAGTATTGGGTTACATCGATAGTACTTTTAAGTCGTGCCATTTTTTATTTTTGATTTAATGTCATAAGCATGAAGTAGGAAATTTTCTGAGAAAGTAAATTTGTATGTGAATTATTTATTAGGTACGTATTTCCACGAGATGAAGTTCCCCCTTCAAAAGTGTCATTTTTGTAAAGATGACAAAGGTTAAGTGTGAGAGGCTAGTGACATTTTTCGTCGTAACGGGTCGCTTTAACATGTTGGGAAACAAAAAATACCTTTCGGGTTGGAGATTGCGCGAACAATGCTACATACATGCATACATCTATAATACCCGATTCATCTTGATGAAAGGAACCGGATGAGTCGTATATTAAATCAAACAACCTGGCATTGGGAATTAAAATAAATATTTCTTTCTTATGCTTTCAATATTTGATCAAAAATAAAATTTAAGCGCAGCTATAAATTAATTTAATTAGATATAAGTGGTTATCGGTATAATATACCGTTTGTACAAATGTAACTTACTGTGGTGTGCTCAATTTCATCATTTATGATGTGATAATAATTATAAGAATTAAAGATATTTTATGACTAAATGGTTGTTGTGTTCTTCTTTCATGGTAGATTCTGTTCTATAATAGTTTATAATAGCGACCAACATTCTATTAAATTCTTTCTTTAGGTAATCTATGAATGAATTTCAGGGCATAGCCTGCAATTGGAATGCTTGCAAATTCGGGGCATAGAACCAACTGGAACTCATTGTACATTATTATCCAATTGATTGAGATCTTTAATAAGCCGCTCAATTTTCTGTTTTTTTTTGTTAAAAATTGGCAAGCGTGAAGTTAAGTGATTACCACCACCTGTGGACAGATAAGAATATCCGAGAGATAGGCAATTGGCATTAGCATCAGGGCAATCTAGCTGAAGTGGCAAATACAACATTGGGCTGCAGATGCGTTGCCATACTTATAAAAAAGTGGGCAACCATGAAAATTAAAATTGCCAACCCCTAGAAACGTAATGTTACTGCTATTAATACTGAGTATTTAGATGTGGCTATTCTACTGAGTGTCATGGATCAACATTTAAACACCTGACGATTTTGCAATAAACTTTGAGATTTCAAACTCAGTCACCACTATTTCGTTAGCTATTCGTATACAAAGCATGCAATCGTAACTTTAAAGCGTTTGTGGTAAATACGTTCTCTTTCTTCCGGTTTTACGCAAAAAATAAATAGTCATCAAATTGATTAACATTTTATTTACTTATGTGTATGATATTTGTTATAATAGTCTCAAATGTAAAATCTTTTTAGCTATCCATATTTCCTATCCAGGGGACCAAGATAAGTTTTCCGCGTTAGCGCGTGTTGAAGCTGTTAGTATTACTTCTTGAACTACTTATTACCATTATGGTCTTTGAAGACGGCAACCGTTTACCACCGCGTACGTGTCAGTAAGCGTTAAAACACACGAAGCAGCGTTGTTGTGGTAGTGCTGTTCGGCGATCCTTGCGTGTGGGTTAACAGCAACCTGTGGCATTCGAGAAACATTATATCTAACTGAAAAGCACTTAAAAAGTAAATGCGCTAAATAGCACTCAAAAGTAAGTAATGAGTGTCGTGTAACACTAGATAGGAACGAAGTTCCTTTCGCATTGTATTAGAATTGTTAAACGGTATATATTTCCAGTTCCGTATTTATCATTTTATCCCATTGATGTTGTAAATAAGATGGCTGATGTGCATACTGCGGGGCGTTTAAAAATTGTTCCGCTTTACATTACATGACAGTACCCGGAGGACCGAGCTTTGCTCGGTTTGTTTTTTTTTGGTAAATCGTGTGTTTTGGAAATTACATTTAGATACAAATTACTGAGTAATGAAATATGCGTAATATTTTTCGATCTTACCGACTAAATAATAAGAAAATATGAAGTGGCGTTTTTCACAACTTTCACTTTAAAAAAAGGGAAAAAAGTAACAAAATAACAAATCGACAAAAAAATTAAAAATAAAGAAAGCAATGACCTGGAATCGAAAAAAAAGTAAAAAAATAAATGTGTAAATGATCGTGACGCGAACCACGGCCGTCTGTTTTGGGGCCGCCCGATTACCGACCGAGCTATTAAAACATTTTCATTCATATATATACAAGAATTGCTCGTTTAAAGGATAAGATATATAATCGGAATCTCGGAAACGGCTCCAGTGATTTTCATGAAATTTAGATATATCTACCTCGTATTTATATATAATATCCAGTGAACACAAATAAACATGGAAACATTATTGTCGCTCCAAAATGACAATGAAAAACTGTATCGGAACGGCGCGCGGCTTATAAACTGTACCGCGAGGCTGTTTTAGGGATGTAGACTTAGTTGTACTAACTAATAAGTTCATTTTTGTTTCACGTCGCGTGATAACTGTCAGGGAGAGTTGTGGTGCTATTTCTTAACTTGCGGCTTCCATGTTTTATTAGCGTTCACTGATAATATCATTGATTTTTTTCCTCCATCCCACTTACTTGGAATTTAGGTAATTGTATAAAGTTGTTTGCTATTGGCAGCCATAGTATTTTCGTGAAAGAAAAATTCTACACCAAATCCATAAAGTGCGATAAGCACTTAATTTCAAAACTGTTTTAACATAGTGTAAATACTTAAATCATTATCCTATTTCTTTGGTGTTCAGGTCGCCTTCTGGTGTTATTTTTTCCACGGAATCCTTTTATGTCGGCCTTTTACGTCACACGTTTCGTGACAAATTTAAAATAAGAAAATAAATATTAGTAAAGCCAATACTAGGTCAATTACCTTAAATGTGTACTGTCCAGGGCTGACATCGGTGACATCCACCCATTGGCAATCAATGTTATAGTGATATACGTCCGAACAATTAATTGAAACTCCTACAATAAGAATATATATTAGTCCAATGTTCAATTGTTTACTGTGAAAAATACATAGAAGTAATTGTTATTGGTTTGCAGCATTATTTCTGAGTATTTCCATGTCACAGCCATCAAAATTTATATGCACTTTTGATACAGGATCTGTTCCGGAAAAATAATACGTAGGAAGCTGAGCATAAGTTTGTACTTATAAACTTAGCCCATAAGGGCTTATGGTCACCCGCCCCGGCTTCACACGTGCGTAATGTATTGTACATATAAACCTTCCTCTTGAATCACGCTATCTAGCAAAAAAAACCGTATCAAGATCCGTTGCATAGTTTTAAAGACATAGTTTTAAAGATCTAAGCAGACGAGGGACAGACAAACAGCGAGAGACTATGTAGTGATTACCATAGTGACGCCAACTACACCCACTATCAGGCAAACTGTCTGCTCATTTGATAGCTTACACCATCGTATAAAAATTATGTGCAGTAGTTGTACAGAAACAGCGTCGAATGTCTTAGACGTAATTTTAATTTTATAATGTGGCCAAAACAAATTATTATATTTATACATTCGTAGTCTGACCTTGATCGCCATAATTTTTGCAGGAGTACTTCCGTTCTATCCCTGGTAAACATGTGTTGTCTTCTAAACAAAAGGATGCCTTGTGACCTTCTGCAATTCTGTTTCCTTCGACATCTAGAATGTCGAAAGTTGCAAAAACTTCCATACTGTGATAGTGCCTGCAAGTACATATAAATATACATATAATGAATACTAAACAGCATGAATTAAAATCCAAAATGTATTTTTAAGCTTCAATGATTTACAAATACAAAAATAACACACTGTTTCAGCCGTGCGAAATAGGGCACTGGATAATTATATATATTATTCAGTGAAATCAGTAAAAAATTATTTTGTGTGAAAGAATCATATTTGTTTGTCAAAAAATTACAAAAAAAAAGACAAATTAGATCATAGTTCAATGGGCCGTGTTTATTATTAAGTACTTTTTGTTATTTTAAATAGGTATTCATTTTTTACTTAATTACATTATTTTTTATATTTTTTTTGCGCTCGGTATAGTATTTTACTGTATTATTATGTAATTAATTCCTTATAAATTTGATTTTTCTATGATTTCTCTTTGTGTGTTCATTTTACAGTACCTATTTAAATTTCCCGGGACCACCTAAAGGTTGACTAGTAGATAATGCTGATGATATCAAGACCGCTTCTGAACATATTTTGTGTGCATAAAGTATAAATAAATAAATTGTTGCATACAAATATTAAATGTATACTATTTAAATAATACGTACATATGACAAAGGTGCCATTGCCATAGATGCTTTGGTAGATAAGGCCTGAACTCAGCGTTACCTATATTCAAAGACGAAGCGGTGAATCTCAGCAGCCGACGAGTTTCGTATTGCCAGTTGGTGTTCGATTTTTGGATCTGTAAATTGATTAAATGCACAAAATGTTGACCTCGACGCTTTCACCAAGTTTTAATTATTCTCTGATTTAGTCACCGCAACAAACTAAAAAAAAAGACATGTTATTTTTAGCTGTTATTTAATAGGTTCTAAATACATTTAGGCGTAATCACACCATCAATATGATAAATCGATGGTATTCTATTATGGGTTATCGGTAATCGAAAGTATATGTTATAATAAAAACGATCAACCAGGATGTAAATGATTTAAACGTCTATAAATTCGTTGATTTGAAACTCGGTGAATCAAAAATGCGTCACAACAAAGAGAGACAGAGAGAGAGAGAGAGATATATAAAGAGCGAGATAGCGTTTGTGTGTATTTGTATTGTACACAGTCTAGTATTTACTCTCATCCAAGCGCTTGTTAATACGTGTGCACGCCAAAGTGTCATATTTTATTATTTATGAATAAAATTTGCAATTTATCCAGAAGGTATTACTAATAAATAAAAAAACCCCTTAAAATTTCGCTTTGCTCCTGATGTTCTATATTACACATATATCCTCCTGTACAAAACAATAAGCTCCTACATAAATACATTGGGTATTTTTTCCATCTTCGTAATTCGATCATTTTTTAAATATTTAATTTCTATCTTAAAAATAACTAATACTATATAAAATATGATATATGAACAACATAAGTGTATTCAAGGTGAGATGGTTTCAGACCTCATATGCCGATTTGCTGAGGCAGTTTTCTTCCATAGCACATTGTAGCTGGTACATGGGTACGTCAAACAAATGAGCAGTCTGTTCTATTGCAATCGTATCGAGTAGCAAATCAGGTAGGTATTGAGTACACACGACAGCTGCTACAAAACCTAAAAAATAATAATAATTTAATGCTGATATTAAGGAGATATCCGCAGTAGAATAAAGATAACCGCTATAACTCAAATATTACTAGGTGACAATGGACCAACAATATAGCATAGAACTGATAACTTCATATTCATCTTTTTTTTTAAAATGTTGCCCTTACTTTAGGATAATATCCTGTGTTGTAAGGACGTTTCACAAACATAAATTTCACGTGGACAAACACCCAGATGGGAAACAACTGGTGGAAATCGAACCCACTACCCCCGATGCCGAAGCTGATACCTTGGCCACTGCGCCACGGAGTCATCTAAATGATGAAAAAAAAAACTGAAGGGGAAGAAAGGTTCTCGAGTGGCTTGTTCTGGTAATCGCAGTGAAGAACGATTAGATGAAGTTTGCTGGAAGTCAATGGACTCAGGAGGCTTCGTGGCAGTCTGTGGGATGGCTTATGTTTAGTAGTGGACTCTAACAGCCTGAAACGATTTTGATTAATGATATTAATTTGAAGTGATGCAGAAGAGTAACGAAACTTCGAGATGTTTTTAAATAACTGATCATGAAAGGACATTTAAAATTTTGGTTAAATTAAACATTGTGTTAGTTCGTAATTTAGAATGGTATACCTTTTTCGCCTGGACAGACCACGTCACCGAAATCACTATGTTTGCACATAAAAAGATTTGTTTCGTTCCCTTCGCATTGCAAACCACTGAGAACGATTCGGGAGGAACCGAAAAAGTCCGTTTGCAGGGCCTGTTCCGCGTACCCCAATGCTAAATGTCTGCAGACAGCGGTCGCTTCGTAGATTGTCCAGCCATCAGGGCAAAGACTACCCCAAAATCCGTTCTGATAGATCTGAAGATGGAGGAAACTGCTGGTTTAAAATTGTAACATTCTTCTCTAAATTTGTAATATTGTCTAAATTTGTTTAAATAAACAATGATAGAATTAATCTAAAATTGGATCCATATGTATAAATTGCTTTTTTACTTCAACTCTCCCTTCATTTGAATATCTTCCTCCAACAAGTCGTAAGCTTGTTCTCCTCGTGTTTAGAACTTGATGCAGTATCGTTTTAATCTTCTTTCTGAATTTATATCTTAATTCAAGAGGGCTCTCCGTTCCATTTTCATGACAAATAACACCGGCCGCCTCGCTACTATCACAGTCTGAGAAGCCCCATCCAGAGAAAATGCAATGAGCCAGAGAGTCTTCGTTTCCTTCACAGACTACGTCGTCCATCCAAAATTTTCCTTAAATAGTCAATATAATTATTACATTAATAGTGTTAAATGTTATAACTAAGCAGTTTGCAAGTTGAGTTCTAAATTCAGAAAATCTACATTCATGTAATGGCTAGATAGCCATTATACGAAGATAGCCATTTTTAGATAAAAAGGTCGTTTTGCATAGAGTTACAGCACTATAAAGTTATACATTTGATTTACAGTAGTGATACAAACATAACAGTAGAGGGAGAATCTATAGATGATTAAGATCCGACAAATTGTCATAGATTCTATGATAGACCTCGCGATTATTATCAAGATTTTTTCAGATCGAAAATGTATTATGTTAAGATGAAATGAGGTACGATTTAATCAGTTACTTTTGTAAGTGTTTTAATTATACATTTCTGTACTACGATTGAATCTGCTGAATGCTACATTTTTCTTCTTAAAAAATTCTTTCTTCATAAATGAATTTGCTAGACAATAAATTAATTCCATATCGTCTATACATTTCACTCCCGCATAGGCCAAGAATCTTTTAGACGCTAGCCTTAACTTGATTTGGATGTTATAACGCATTTTGAAACATGTAAACTGTTTTGTACGGTACATGTAATCGTTATAAAGCAAATAGGATTGAGAATTTGAAGTGCTCACTTGCAGTTTCCCCAAAATGTCCACCATGGGTGGCTGTGCCAGTTCTGTTAAAGGTCCTACAAACAACATGTGCGGCGGCGTCATCCCAGGAGTCATCGCAAACTGCACCCCAACGCCCGGCGTGGTATATGTACACGTTTCCTGAAGGTCATTTGTATCATCATCACCATTCTTATTATCGAACAGTGACAACATTGCTCAACGTGTTTTGGTTTCCTTCATTAAGATTTGACATAAAATATTGAAATATTTTTACACAATTAATTACTGATAAAGTTGGCTAGCTGGCTGACGGTGATCCGCTTGCCAACTAACTAGTCAAGTAATTACAGCCAACCATGACCATTCACAACTCTTAAGTGAAAATTTCAACTACCTATCTAACTGTCACGTTTCATGAGATACAACCTGGATGACAAACGGACATATAGATAGACAGACAGACAGACAGCGGAGTTTTAGTAATAGGGTTTTGTTTTACCCATTGGGTACGGAACCCTAAAAACTCACAAAATATAATAAAGGAGTACCACCCCAGTGTCACCGTACATTCTTGAAAGGCTTGAAGGTATTGGCCTCGTTTGCTTTTCACTTTATACTTATTTAGAAAAATATTATTAAAGGCAATCATTATTTAAAAGACATTATTATAATGTAAAATAACTTATTAAGAACTAAGAAGTGGGGAATTACAAGTTTTATGTTTATGTGAATCGTTTTGCTATGAACGATTATAGCAAAATAGTTTAACATATGAATGTATGAATGGACCACACAAGTATTTGCTGTTCTTTGCCAGCTTTTCCAGCTCTCTTGATGATGGTAATCTCTCGATAGATTTCGACTTTTATCAGAGATTGGAACAAGAGTTAATAAAAAATGATAACGTTTAATTTGAGCAATCAAATTATTGGTAAAGTAATTATTGGTGAAACTTATTTACCTTCGAATTCGTTAGTTCCTCCGATCAATCTCAGTTTTCCTTCCAAATGCTTTCTCGTGTTGATCAACCTCTGCACGAAATTTGCCCGTGCAGCTCTTTGAGCCTCGTCTAAATCTCTACTTAAAACTATCGGAATAAAAAGAAACATTGACAGTTTCACGTTCATGCTTGGCTATTCTGATGATCACACATTCTGATCGAATGAAATTATAATTCACTGCTGATCAGTAAACAAAACTTGACTCAGCTCACTCTTACGTTGGTGAAAACCGACTGAATACGAAACACGGATCGTTCAGTACTAGAAGACCTGACATCACCAACGCGACTGAAAAACAAATGTACTTTTAATTGTTTCAGGCGATATTCTTTCGAGTGATTCTGGTTCAATGTCAAGTAATTGTGTTTAAGAGATAGTTCTATGGCGTTCTGACCCATGATTGTTATTAGTATATATTATTAGTATATAAGTTTAAATGCAGTATTTTTATACCGAAAAATTGATGTAAGAATCACATAAGTTAAGATAGAAATAGGTACTTAGTTTAACAACGTAATCACTAAGCGATAATTGTTAACAAAAAATATAATTGTAACGCTTTTGCACTTAGTTTTTTTAGTTTTTACATAGGTATTTATTTTAAATGTAAATTGAAACCCATCAAAAAATCTAAAAATATTTATTTGCTTATCTTTATCGTCTGGTATATTTTTTATATTTTTTATCGTCTGTTGTTGCTCCTAGTCCTTGGAAAATACGATATACATAACAGCTGGAGACCATACCTTACTTGGATAACTTATCCATGAGTAAATGAATATATTCAAAATTAAAAGATATTTAAATCTTTTTTTAGTTTCAATATATTTATCGTGATCGTGATAGATCGAAAGAAATCGTGATTCTACAACATTGGGGACCGTATCTGAATGTGGTTATAACAACTGTCATCATAAACAAATTCAATGAATTATCAACGTCGCCTTAATTCGGCCAATTAACACACTGAACAGTGTGGAGCATTCCATTTGACCTAAATACTATCACGTCTACGAATTAAATTGTTTGTTTTACTACTTATATGGGTAAATTTTTAAGCTAATAAGAGTTAGTTACGTCCGTATATAAATTCATGACTAAAGATTTCCGACCAAGAAAAGTTATGGGAAAATGTATAAACCTATGAACGTAAGGTGGTACCAAAAACCATAAATCAAATTCATGTAGCTGATTTTGTCAGCGGATGTTACAATTGAAATCTTTACTAATATTATAAATGCGAAAGTTTGTATGTATGGATGGATGTTTGTTACTATTTCACGCAAATACTACTGACTGGATTTTAATGAAACTTTACAATAATATAGTTTATACATCAGAATAAGACAAAGGCAATTAAATTTATATACATATTTTATGTATATCATAAGTCTTTCTATGTAAATGTTACGCCTTCAGTCTATTTTACGGAGACGTAGTCGCGGGCAACAGCCAGTATAAAATATGTATTAAATTGTAGTAAAATTTTGGAAAAAGTATATATACGTAGGTATTATAAGCTTTCGAAAAAAAGTATTACCTTTAGAAATTAAATGTCTACTTTTATATAATTTCTGATGTTAATGGGCAAAATCAAAATGAGAAAATTAAAATCATTTATTATAATCGACACAAGAAACTTATATTTCAACAATCGATAGTCATATTTTTTTTAAATCTACCACCGTTTCGTAATGAGGTTCCTCTAGCGGAGAAGAAACAGGCGAAAGAAACTCCGTAGGTAACATCTTTTATGTAATTATTTTTTTTTAAAAATTTAAATATTATACAACTGATTTTTTTTTCCTTTTAGAAGTAGCTTGGGAGCGATCAAGTCATTCCCAGGGGTTATTGTCATTAATGTATTCATTTGTATTACAATAACCCTTTTTATAAAGTTTTTCTTTAATAATTTCTTAAACCTGTTAATAGGCAGGTTTTGCGCATTTACTGTGATTTTGTTGTAAAAGCGTATACACCGCCCCATGAACGAGTTACTTACTCTATGGAGTCTAGTAACTGGCGGGCTAAAACTGAATAAAAACGTTTGGTATACGTGTAATTTCTGAAAATATACTATGATATCGTTAGTTATGATTCTCTATTACAAAAGTTAATGTTATGTATTGATGAATGTTTCAGTGGAAAAGTGTTCAGTCATTGAAATCAATGTTCAATCAGAGATCAGGGTTCTAAGAAATAAAAGCTGAATTGATTTGTTCGTTGGCAAGACCTTTGGTATTTATTCGCTCGTTATTTAAATCGTACGACCTTACTCGTAGTTGTACTCATAATATAGAGGTCTTTTCTGCCGTCATACGGAAACAAAACTTATACGACATTTTTTCCAATAACGTGTTATTATATCTATCACAACATATTCGAAATGAGCAGAAAAATCCGCACCCACTATGTAAATAACTCATTTTTGGATAAAAAGTCATAGATACGTCTTTTTTCCATATGACGGCAGTTATACTCTACATCGTTTTTTTATTTAAAAAGGTAATAAATTGTCATATTCACACAGTGATTACTAATACTAGTACATTATGAGGGCTTCTTATTCCTTTCTAAGATTATAAGCGTAAGACTTACAGCACGCTCATATATAAACTAATCATTCCCATTCGATGACCATCTGAAATGTTGATGTTTAACTGTGAAGTTTTGAATCTTGTAATCTGAGGCTTTTGTAAGCTAGTTATTTTATGCGTATCTATCCCAATATGATTACAGTATAGCCACATATGGCTCATATTTTCAACAACTGTATAGATACTGGAATATTTCCAGATCTTATGAAAATCAGTAAGGTAATACCCGTCTACAAAAGTGGGGACAAAAATGATCCAGGCAACTATAGACCTATCTCCATATTGCCATCACTGAGTAAAATTTTTGAAAAATTTATTTTAAACCAACTATTGGTACATTTTAATATAAATCAAATTTTTCATGATGAGCAATATGGATTCACTAAAGGCAGATCGACAACAGATGCAGGTGTCGCACTTGTCAAACATATTTATAATGCCTGGGAAAGGTCGCAAGATGCAATAGGTGTCTTTTGCGACCTTTCAAAAGCTTTCGACTGCGTAGACCACAAAACCCTACTTCATAACTAGATTATTATGGCATTCGTGGCATCGCCCACAATCTCATTGCCTCTTACCTTAGTAATAGAATCCAAAAAGTATCAATAAATGATATTAATTCCGCTGGGACCCCTATGAAAATGGGTGTCCCACAAGGATCAATCTTGGGCCCATTATTATTTTTAGTATATTATATTAATGATCTCCCCTTTTATGCCAGTTAGTTGTGTGATGTTGTACTGTTTGCTGACGATACATCATTAATTTTTAAGGTTTACCGAAATGTATTAAATTATGACGAGGTGAATAGTGCACTTTCGCATATCCTCCACTGGTTTACTATTAATAATATGTTATTAAATGCAAAAAAAAAAAAAAAACTAGATGTGTTCTTTTTACACTCGATTCAGTTCGATTCCCATAACGGCGACAATCTTTTCGTACTTTTTCTACATGTTTTAATGTTCAATCTTAAGTGCAGAGATTAGCACTGTAAAAAAAAACTTAAAATGACTTTTAAAAGCTTGGTGACAGACGGACAGATAGCAGAGTCTTAGTAGTAGGGTCCCATTTTACACTTTGGTTACGGAACCCTAAAAAAGTGTAGAAGTTCTAGAAAGATTGAATTCGCAACACAATAGGGGTGGATTCAAAACGGCGAAAGCGGTTTCCAGTGTAAATAAATTGCCTTCGAGAACGAGTTTGTTTATCGAAATGGCCGGTGAATAAAAGACTGGGAGGGTCTTTCTTTTTCAAGTCAATACGTCGTAATGTAAAAACATTCGTGTCATCAATATTACACAAATGTGTTTACGTTACGATGCACTGGTGTTATAATCAAAACTTAACTTTAGAGATTTATAATAGTTATTATTGACGTTCGTAACGATTGAACGTAAAATTGAATATTTTATTTTCTAACAAAAAAAAGTATTTAGTTCTCTTGAACTAAACGGAGTGGGAGCATGATAACTACGTCCATCGATTTTATATAAATTGTTTATATAAACAGTAAAATATGTAAAGTAAAGTTTCAGCCTTTACATGTCCCACTGCTGGGCAAAGACTGGTCTTCTGTGAGGTTGTGGTACTTACCCGGACGGACCTGCCCATTCGTGCAACAGAAAACTCTGTTGCGTGGCCCCGTATTATTAAGAGGTGGCAACGCATCTACAACCCTACGAGGGTGCAAATGTTCATGCGTAGGCGGTTATCACTTAACATCAGGTGAATAGCCAGCTCGGTTGCCACTTTCTCAAATAAAAAAAATACTTTTACCTTGGTTTTCCGTGAGTCTCTGGATCTTCCCCATGAGTGAAGGACGAGTTATAAAATAAAAATAAAATATTTAGGACACATTCTTTTTACACAACGTTCTCTAGTCCCAAACTAAGCAACGCTTGTACTATGGGTACTAGGAAACTGATAGACATGCTTCTTCTTCTTCACGTGTCGATGACAAATCATATCTTTCCAGCCCAGAACTTAGCCACTTCGACAGCACAATTTGTGACATCCATCAGATCCTGCATAGACATACTTAAACATACTTTTCTTTTGTAAATAAATACACATTATACATATATAAACACCCAGACACTAGAAAAACACTATGCTCATCACGCAATATTTTTTCCAGTAGTGGGGATCGAACCCACACCCTCTGGCACAGAAGGCAGGTACACTAAAGACTACGCCATTCGGGTCGTCTGTTGTTATTTATGTTCTCTCTGCTAGGTTAAAATGAGCTATCTCCATTTCAAGTTTATTTACCGTTGTACCAAGCGAATTCATTTAAATGCATTTCAAACGGAAATTAAAACTGTTGGTAGCCTCTGAGAATTAGTTGTAACTGATTTGGACTGGAAGAGCTCGTGTATAAAATTGGATTTTGAAAGATAGGTGTTTGGTTAACTTAGCGTTAATAATTCTTATCCTTTTAAAATACTTTACAGATTGTTATGCAATTACTAGCTACCCACCCCGGCTTCGCACGGTTGCAATGTGTTATACGTATAAACCTTTCTC